AGCACCAAGCTGGCTCACTCTCCACATCACCATCACTATCCTCCCAGTAGCCAGAGTCCCTTCTTGCCCGACCCAGCGGTCGGATCAGCGCATTCTGACTGTAATAGAATGGCACGCATCCCGGTCGATCTCGGTACGTTCGGGTTAAGGGAGCATACTCGACCTTCCGTGAGACAGGCCGGCTCATATCCATTATGGCTAGCGGATCCCGCTTGACGGTTTCCCAGGCCCGCCAGATGCTGAAGAAGGCGTACCGAGGTCCGTCATAGTTGGCGCCATCCCAGTCCCAGTGGCCACCTGTAGGCAGCCCTTGACCCCCTTCCACTTGCACCTCGGGGTCGATCCCGGCTTTTGCAATGGCGCGGTCCTCGGCATCAATGATCTCTCGTCGTAGTCTGAAGAACTCCTCTCGTTCGGCTGCCGTTGTGCATCCGTCTTCATCGTGGTTGTTCTCGACAAACCAGTCAGGTTCCTTCATGGCGCGGAAGTGTCCTCGGGCCCCTGCCGGGGTATAGTCCGAATGTGCGATGCTAAACGGGGCGAGGGATTCAATCTCGAATCCGGTCTCCGGGTTCATTCCCACAGCTGCCCAGTCCGGTATGTCTCGAAGAGAGTGCTTACGTACAATGGCAGAGCGCGCCCCAAGGGTCTTTCTCAACAGGGCAGTCATGGAAGGGTAGTACCGGCTAGCCATAATCTGCTGGTTATGGACTACGTCAGATGACGGCGAGAAGGGTAGATCCTGGCGCACAATTTGGAACCCATGCTGGTCGTGATTGTAGCTGCTTAGAGGAGCCGGCAGTGACCGTAGGTCAGTGACTGGAAGAAAGTATGTCTTGTTATCTGGCGAGGTTCCCTCGATAATGGTGAGGTCGTTGAGTTTGGGAATATCTGAGGAGTTGTAATAGGTAAAAGCGCCCAAAACCTGACGCCCAGGCTTGGACGAGTGAGAATATGAGTTCTCTGAAAGCTGTGAGCAGTGCTTGTCGGACATTTTGATTACATGAAGCTGTCCCTCATCAAGCATCAATGTCTAAGGCAAAGAGTGAAATGCATATCAAAATTCGAGGTTTAGGTCTCGTCTAATTACGGTATATATTTACCACATTGACAATAAAGTCGTTTCAGTATCACGACCAACCTCGATTTAATCAAAATTCATGCCAAGAGGCTAATCGTTATAGAATATCCGCTGAACAATACCTCAGCTTTGATGTAAAGTAAAACATTCCTTGATGTTTAAAGCCATGACTCGTAGACTAGCTTGAAGTATTTCTGCAGTGAGTGACCATTGCTCTTGACACTACCAAGAGATTTGGTAATCAACACCCACGCTGAATATCCATCGAGTTCTCCTCCGTGGACGAGCGTGGAGCTAGTTCCCTCAGCTAAGTAAGTAGGACTTAAATTCCCTTACTAGAATAGATAGATTCCAAACCTAAAGTATTGCAAGTACAAGGTAAAAGGTTTCATATGCCAAGGACAAGACAGCTGCTCTTACGCCTACAGACCTTAAGGTTGAGTTTGCTTATAGTTTTGGCAAAACTTAAAACTTTCCACAGCTTCTAATATTAAATGTAGCACGTGCGAGTGGTTTCATCCCGCACAGTACGAAAGTTTTGTTATTTCTGGGTCACGGAAGGCCAAGTTCGAATGAGGGGCCGAGCAATAAGTGGATAGATTAGTTACAGGCATCAATCTGGCAAACTTACGACAGGTGGTCTACCAAGAAACCGAAAATGCATGGAGTGCACTATCTAAAGCGGCCCGAAACAATCTCATTCGACAGTTCTGAGGATGGACACTCATACGACCCCCCAGCACAAGCGTTCTCACGCCTAACAAAGCCTCGTTACACTTGCTTAGGTACTTGTTGTCGGTTTTGTTACAGCCATATCCATGGGAATCCTTTACTGAAGTAGCTCTAGCCTTCAGCATACCGTCAGTGTAACCGAATGTGGCCAGACTCCAGACGAGGCGATCGCAAGAGGGTGCCGTTTCGAATCACATACCTTTGCATGGACACCACCTTATTGCTATGACCGGGAACTCGACGAGTTATGGAACGAAAAGAATTGGGGCTACTCGCGTAATGCCGAGGAGGGTACAGATCTTTTATCAAAGGAAGAGGGACTGGTAGGCAAATTGAGTTGAACCTATGTAACGCGGAACCAATAAATGCATGTCCCATTGCGTTCTGATCTGGCAAAAATACCAGCGCGCGGTCATGCAGGACCTCCCGACGGGAAATTGGACCTCGAGCTTCCCTCATACATATCACTGTGGCCATATGATGGCTCAGTGGGTTCTCAACCACTCCGAGTACAACAGTCTATTATACACAGAATATGCATCTTGTAACTACGACTGGAAGACTTTTGAACGACGTATGCCGGATACCTTGCGTGGCCGCTTGGACGGGGGTTTAATTGGTGATGGCGGAGACCATGCCAGCTATGCCGGTGGAAAAGCAGTTGAGGCAGGACACGAAGACATGGACCATATACAACTGAGATAATAATCACGAGCTCATACAACTCCAAGTAATATGATGAATTGGTTTAATGAGGTGAGGGACAATGTCGTCTCACTTCTGATGATTAATCTCCCTTAAACCCAGCTTGTAGCTTCAATCTAAAAATTGAGGTGGGGCGTTGAACACACAACAGCCATACAAATGTCTTCCAAGAGCTCGAGTGGCAGGAGTAGGACCTCCGTCATCTTTGGCGGGGCTGCACAATAAGCTGCTGCGACTTGGGGAAAGCGAGCGGGCGGGAGAATCTGGCGATGGAGATTGTGATGGCGGTGGGAACGGAAATGGGCATGGCAGCGATGAAAATGATGGCGGCGATGAGGGTATCGATACCCTTTGGCAGTGGTGCAGCTAAAAGAAGAAGAAAGCACGTCATTATTCGTCTTTGCGCGGCAGAGCGAGGATGAAAGTGGAGGGGAGAAGGGCTCCTTCCCCTGGACACGAATGTCGACCAACTTGGGCAACCGCGCAGCAGAGCAGGAAGAGCAACTACGTACCGCCACCCCTGCCCTGTTTCTGTATTTGGCCTGCATATGAATGGCTATTGGTCTGTTGCCCCGAACGAGAGTGCGCACAATCTTCGTCTCCCTCCTTCTTCATTCATTATTTGGTTCTTTCTTTTTCTTCTTCAAATGCATCAAATACTTCATCTCCCCTTACGCCGACCACTCCCAACCGGACGAGAGGGAATTTCAAGCATTTCGTGGGCTTTGATGATGTTTGTACATGGGAGGACAAGAGAAAAAGTTCGTGTTACCTAAGATACCTAATTAGTAGACACTTTTCTTAGTGCAAATCTCGATAGTATGCATTGTCCCATATCTGATGCTCATACTGGTGGCAGTCTCTGCTTTCTTACACACTCTTCAAAGCTCGTAGCGCCATGTGCTCGCGATCAGTCTGCCATATTAGTGCAAATATTGCTATTGAACGTCGTATCTTTCTCTACTGTCCACCTGTAACAGCCAGCCGACAGTCAATCAGAGAGGAATTGGGAGACATGCTGCTGCACTTAGAGGTCGTGGCGTACGTAAGCAGGCAAGGTACCTAGCCACGTGCACGGAGGAGGAGATAATGGGGGTACCAGGAATTGATGGCGGAGAGTGATACCGTAATTAGTAGCTGCAGCCAGCTTGTGGACGAGAGGGGAAACAGTGGGTGGGGGCACCTGCCTCTGCCTGTTATCTCTTCACTCTTATCTCTTACCTCTCTTTCCTCTTTCTGTTGCCTCCTGCGCCTGCCAGTCCCGTCGACGATGCCTCGCCGCCCCTCGCACTTTCTCCTTCCAAATCTACAATCTCTTTTCGCCTGGTCTTCCTGCGTCCTTCATTTGTTTCTTCCCAACCACCACGATCCCAAGTGACTTTCGCTCTACCGCCGCCGCCAGCCGTTGACCGCCACAAGGCCACTCAATATTATGTGTCAACCTTTGTTTGCGTATTCGACTTCATGGCCTAGAGTGTGCATGCATGGCACGATCGAGGTGCTGCCACGTTCTTCGCCAAACACATACTACGTACCATGCATTCCTTACGCGCCGTGGTCATTTGGCGGCAGACGAATGGCCTCGACGATGCCGAGTGTGAGTGGAGACACCGTCGGTCTTGCAGGCTGCCGTAGTCTAACGGACGTACAGGCACAGACACATCGTGTACTTTTCCCTATCGAGAAGATAGATGATGCATCCTTTCCATCGCCATCTATCTCATCCCCATCCATACCTCCGCCTCGCAGCAATCAACTCGCAACCTCAGCTTCCCGTCATCACGCATCGCTTACCGCTTCGGGACGCCTCCACTCCAACTCAGCCGAACCCCGTTCGCTTACGGCCGTGTGATTTCAATCTTACCGCCTGTCCGGTCGTGTTGCCTTGCGTTGCGCCGCCCGCTTTCCTGTCAGACCTCGTCATGGCACACGCACCTCGGTTGTGCCAAGGCAGCTATGCTTAGCTTTCCACCACACAACTTGCTGATGCTGAAGACATCAGTGGTGCGAGCCGCCATGAAGATTGCCGTCTTGCAGCTCAACCTTGTCTCTTCCAACATTTGGATTGTGCTTGCTGGCAGCCTTTCTCATCTTAGGGATGTATCCGTTCCGTTTGAAGCAAGCTAAGAACCGTTTGACTCTGCCGCTGATGGGCAGGCTCGTCTCGTCTTCCTCGCCATCTTTGTCTGTTGCTCGCTAACCTGCATCTATGGGCCGTGATGCGAGCGGTTCGCACTACATCATGGCCCAATGGGATACGCACGTTAAACAGTTGGTGTAGGGCTCTCATGTGCTCCCAGGGATGATTCGAACGTGCGTCGCCATGCCACACGGGTATCATGCTGTGGGCGAAAGTTGGAGGCGAGGGATGAATTGGAGGGAGAGGAAGATACAAGTTGAAAGACAATCCCCAGTCTCCTTTGTCCCCTTCTTTTGTCTCTGTTACTTGTGTGTCTTTGTGTCAAGATTATTATTTCTCTTGCCGCCGACGACGACGACGACGACGTTGTCATCCACAGCTGGGTTGTCACTCAACTTGTTCGTACTCTCTTCAGCGGAACTGCTTTTCCACCGCCTACACCCCCTTGGCTGGAGTCCCCAGGAAAAGCAAAGCCAAACGCAGCGCAATGGAGCAGAACCCGCTGCTGCTGCTTCAGACACCGGAACAATGGCCCCTCTGGCCGGACATGGATGCGACCTTCCCCCCCGAGTATTCGGCTTCCCACGAGCTCCAGGCAAACGTCTTACAAAGCCACGAAACCGCCACGTTAGAGCCCTACCGCCTGCAGCCGACACCCAATCTCATGGTCGCCGACTTTCCGCCCTCAACGCCTCCTGACCCTGACGCCGGCCTCGATCTCGACTTCGGATGGTGCATGCACCCCGCTACCGACGGCTTCAACATCCCGGCGTCCTACGGCGGCTTAACCCGAGACAGTCCCCACTTTGGTTCCACGACCGGGAAAACGATGGAGCCACCCTCCTGTTTCCCCGTCCTTGACGGCGCTCTAGTTTCGGAACCGGTGCCAGCAACCACACAGTCATGGAGCATATCTCGTAAGAACACACGTCAGCAATTCCCACACATGAGTTCCTTTCAGGCACACATGGAATCCCCCCAAAGTCACAAGCAACAACCGGGAGCACACAAAGGGAATCCAAGGCAGAACATCGCCAACGTCGCTGCTCAATCGTCCAAATCTTCACTACCTGTCAGAGAGGGCGCTAGCGTGCCAGGAACCTCACAGGCATCCGCTTACACCAAAGGCAATTGGGGTAGCACCGAAACGAAGCGTTCACACTCCACCGGCCTCGACGTTCCCCCTTTGTCGGATAAAACAAACAGCCCCATGGCTTCGCCCCCGGCTGTAAACCTCTCTCAACCAACCCGTCGAGCCGCTGCTTCGGGTCTGTCGCGAGAGCACCTCCCATCCAAGAAGTCTTATATCACTGAAATGCGCCGAGGGCAGCGGAATGACGCCACTCGTTCAAGTGGGAGTCTTCAAAAACGGACAAGAGTAGACCGGGCAGCACGCCTAGGAAGCAAAGCCGACGTCACCAAGCTTTCCGTCTCTGTCAGTGACTATCAGAGGCATGTGATGAACTTGATTGAGCTTATCAAAAAGGAAGCGGTGTGAAGGATAAAGTGGCAAGTCAAAAGAAGAGAAGGCATGGCCTGACATTTATGCAGGCCATCAATGTCTGTTTTACTAGAAATAGATGTACAAACTGTTTTAGGATATGAAGGACAAATGGTGTAGAGAAGAGTAGAAAGAGAGAAATCTTTTTGTGGCGGGAAATAATTGATCATGTATGGCTGTGGCTGCATCTTCACTGATCCACCCCGCTAGCTGCTACTGACTACGTTCCTTTTATACTTAGCCCCGTCGCTGATCATCCATGTTCTCTTCCTTCAATTATGTCTGCTTAGCTACATTGGACCATGACTCGAATCATCTTGCAACACGCCGTCCAACGCCAATAGCATCCGTGTTTGTAGTAGCCAACCATGGCCATCCTTGCCGTGTGATCCAGCCCAGCCAGCCTTGCAGCCCTTCTTGCTCTTCTTCATCATCACCCACAGGGGTTGAGCCGGCTTTCTCGAGTTCCCATACATCAGATGACACGCAATGAAACCACAATGACCAGAGCTGTTAACTCCTAGTCAGCGTTTGGATACTGAAGCTCCAATCCGTTTATGGCCGCGTATAGCTTCATGGATGCATCCGCCCTAAACGGCCCGGATAACTAGGGGGTCCCCGAATTGTTTTTAGGAGAGTGAAGATGATGTCAATCTCGGAGAACTACAGCCACAGGGAGATGAACACACCGAGATAGTCTATCACTAACGGGAAACTCTGCGACGTCCCTAGCAATTCAGAGACGGGTGCTGGGATGTCCACGAACTTCTTCATCGTCGACACTATATTCGGCAACAATTGCTACAATGACGGGGTCAATAGATACATCCTGTGCCTACTGTTCTTGTTCGACTCGATATTTGCCACCAACTCAGACAAGGACTATAAGCCCTCCTGTACAGACCAGTTCTATCACCAAAGATTGCTGATAACAATTCAGAGAGAGGTTTCAAGACAGCAACCTCTCTGGCTTCCACTCCCGCTTTCAAGGCGCCGAAAAGACGCAGATTGCACACATGCAATTCTGGACAGCAGGTATGTAGTTGAAGGAACAAAATATGACTGGAGACGATGGATGGCTGACCCAGGAGAATAACAGGAACCAAAGTGGACTGCGGTGGTCATAACCATAGCGAAGGCATTTTTCAAGAAGTTCACTTTTGTCTCTCCCCTGGGACGGGTGACGGAGGCATGTGGAGGCTCAAAGATGGTAAGAATCCTAAGTCAGCAACGCCGGAGGACTTTGACAAGCTCCCGCTGCCTCGCCTGCACGAGCATGGAGCACTATGGGAGAGAGACTCGTCTGGCCATGTTGTCAGAAACAAGAATAATGTTATTGCATACCCTTGGCACAAGTGGCAAGGGGGCGAAGCTAAGAATGTGGATGTTTGGATGGCATATGAGTTTAACCCAGACCTTATTAGAGGCCAGGTTTATTAATATGTAGTAGTTAACACAATGCCGTACAGCTTTTTTTACACAAGCATATATATTTGTATGTGTCCTTCGTCTCTAGTGCCTATACCTCACCTTTCTACCCCCAGGTCTTGGTTGTCGTCCTCATGATTGACTTTTGGTGTCAAGTTTACTCTTGGGGTCGGGGATGACTGATGTAATGCGCACTCGTCCATGCCCGCGTTGATGATGCCTTGTTCTGCTTAAAGCGTGAATGCATTGAGGCAGTCAAGAGGTCACCATGCTCCAATAACAAGGTCTAGGAAAGCCCAGAGCATCAGTCTCTTAAGCTGCTTTGAGGCAATACTGAGACCCATCACAAAACCATGCTGGATTACACCGCGGTTGTCGAGAAGCCGATAAAGAACGAACCCGTCGCAGCGTTTATCGGCTAACTAGGAGCAGTCGGGTCACGCTGGCGCAGCTATATACCATGTCCGCTGGAAGAGCATGGCATGAGAACTCCGTCTGTCTTTGCTCGCAACCCGAGCGAGCCATTTTACAAGGAGATCAATGCCGAAGGGACGATGCAAGACATGCCCCAACGCGGCCGAAAGAATTTGAGGCTTGGAGAGAGTCCTTAGCCCGGTAGAAACTCCAGACCCTACCGAAGTCGGACAAACTGTTAATGCCGCTTCCTGCTGCCATCGAGGCTCTGTTCCCACCCGACAATCTCTGTATGGGGTAGCAGTGCGCGTCTACCGTCATCTAAGATCCAACGCCATGCGTATTACCAGGGACCCGCAAAGCTTCTGTCCAGATGCAAGAATTGAGACATTTCGACTGAGGGCTAATGCAGACTTTCCCAACGTCCCGTCCAGCTCGGCGGATCATCAAGTTCCGATACTCGAGCCGGTCGAGCCTCGAGACACCTTCAGGATCCGACGGGACATCGTTCACCTGAGCAAACAAGAGCTGGCCCAGTATCAGGCCAAGCTTGATGATGTGCGTCAGGTGAAAGCTCTATGGTCTCGTTAGCAACAGTTCGATACTCTGCACACGTGCTGCAATCATGGCTATCTGGATGCCAACCTGGCGTATACGCTTACTGGTGTCTACACTACCGGGTGGCGACCTTCCTTTGGCACAAGATGGCTCCTCTACTCTGAAAAGCTCAGTGGCATTCCAATTCCATATCGGAATGTCTACGCCCTCAAAACGGCGAACCCGACATTCCGACATCATCTACGATGACCATGCCTTTTACTGAAGTTCTTTGGAGAAAACCCAGCCGCCAGCCCATGAGACGGTAGTTGTATAAGGGGCTTTAGTTATCATACATGTAGGGCAGATTACCTCCTAAGACCTACTATCTCTAGCAATGTTCTAGAATTATATGACGTGGAATATAGACTACTAGCAATAGTACATTTGAACCCTAACATCATATGCAGACTCTACATGAATACCAAATCGTACAGAGCCCACTCTTGAACGTAATCTAGCTGTTATAAGTCGGCTACTCAAAACGTGGTTTTCCCCCGCGGTCGAGGCTGTTGAGCAACGCCATGTCGCTCTCTGAGAGATTGAAATCAAAGACGTCTGCATTTTGCTTGATTCGTTCCTCTTTCTCGCTTTTGGGCAACGGCACCCAGCCTTTTTGAAGAGAGTAACGGATCAGAACCTGGGCCACAGATTTCCCGACCCTCACTGCAATTTCAGCCACTGTTGGGTCCTGGAGCCCGGTCCCTCTCGCTAGTGGGCTGAAAGCCTGGAGCACTATGCCGTGCTCACGGCAATAATCTACCGTTTCACGCTGCTGTGTCCATGGATGCAACTGTGCGTAATGTTAAGGCATTCCGAACAGCGATCGGGAGTAGTACACATGCCGTTCAGTAATGACTTACCAAGATCTGGTTCACAGCCGGCGGCCAAATCGTAGCATAACTCCTCATCTCTTCAAGATGCTCAGGTGCATAATTACTGACCCCAATCGCTCGAGCCCGTCCGTTCTCGTACAGCTTCTCCAGTGCGGTCCAGAGTTCCCTTCGATCTTTGGGTTTGAGAACATGCGGCGAGTGTATGAGGAACAGATCGACATAACCCTCTGGACGGGGGTCTATTCTATGCACACTCTGCAAAGCACGCTCGTATGATTTTCCCTTTCCGAGAGGATAGCGAATTTTAGTTGTAACAAATATCTCCTCGCGGAGAAGGCCGGACTGCTGCAGTGCAGCGCCAACCGCTTCTTCGTTTTTGTAAAGCTGAGCAATGTCAATGTGCCGGTACCCGGCGGAGAGGGCGTGGAGGCATGCTCGAGTGCAATCGGCTTCGCTGATTTGGTATACGCCATAGCCTAGAATAGGCATTCGGCTCTCCGTGTTCCGAAGAGACACGGTCGATGAAATGCTCATGTCAGCGTGCGGCATTTGGATCAATGGAGAGATGGTATCTGAAAGTCTTCGTCGAGTGCATAACCGTCGGGAGAGGTGTAGCAGTAAGCTGATGGAGAGGGTAAGGTACTTGTCCCGGCCGGAAATGACAGCTAGCCGTGTCAGTCCACAGATTCAGCCTGCTGCTTCCCGCGGGCCAGTGAACACCGAGCCGACAGAGGTGAACGCACCTTCGATAGATACCTGCCAAACAACCGCCAATCACCTGAGCTTACAGCCTTAGCCTGCTGCTTCTGACGGTGCATTACGCACCGAGTTTTCAAGGAAATAAATCAACGTGTTGGGGCTTTAGGGCGGCGTTCATGCAGCTCACAGATTACCAGGTTTAATGATTCCACCAGATAGGATCATGGCCGAGCCCTGGCTTTGGCTTGCCGCCGGTGCATGTTAGTCAGCCTTGATAGGTGGCTATGCGCTTACCACGTGACTCAGAGTACCTAATGTACTTCAAAATCTACTACTACGGATACAGGTAGATGAACAGCCGCACAAGCCACCACAGCCACTGTTGACTATCACCTGACACACCACTATACCTGCGCTCATTTATTAGACTTTTGTTGAAGTGAATATGGCTGTCAACTTTGGACACTTCGTCATGAACACTACAATCACCAGCACAGAGCCTGTTATCTCCCGGATCTTTGCCTATTGTGGAACTGCGCTCTGCCAATATTTATTCCCTTCTACTGTGTCCCTTGCCGCTGAAAGACAATTCGGTTCTGGGAAACGTCGCTCCTAAACTCGCTTCGCGACTATATGTGAGCCGTCTTACCAACAGAAAAGTCGGAGCCTTTCCTGGGAAGCAAGATTCAACGCAATATATCTAAACATGTTCTGCTCCCTAAGTACACTAAGTAACCATAAGACCCAACTATTTGATCTCGAACCCCAGCGATCCAGTATTACATGGCTGAATACTAAAGGCCATTTCGTACAAATTTGCTTCCTTTGGCAATCTCGCCGCTCAAAACTTCCATACTCTTATTGCCCATAATCTCCAAGACGGAAACCGCAGACCCGCACTCACTAGCAACATAGTTCCGAATCTCCATGGCCACCAGCGAGTCCACGCCGTAGACGTGAATCGGCTTGCCAATGTCGATATCTGGCTCTGGAATCCTCATCGTGCGGCTGATCCTCTTCACCAGCGCGTCACAGATGATTTCCGCCGCCGCCTCTGGGCTTTCGGCAGACTTGAGAGCACGCGTCACCGACACGGTTCCGTTCTGGTTCGGCGCAGCATCCGCCACGGCCCCCGACTCGCCGCTCGCCGACCGCAACTGTCGGAACAGCGGCGACTTGATGAACGTCGGCTCGGGCAAACCGCGCTCTTTGAACACGGACAGTGGTGCTAAGCCGACGCCGATCTGGGGCTGGCCCTGGCAGCCCGCTCGCTCTGCGTCGAGGTGGAACTCGACCAAACTGAGGAACTCATCCTCGCGGATACCGTCGTGCGCGTAGAAGAAGAGCGGGTTCTTGTTGAGTGTCTCTTGGTTCTCGGCGACAAAGCCTACGCTCATAACGTTGCACAGATCTATGCACGTCGCCGCCAGCCCCTTGGCGCGCCGGTATATTGCAAGCGAATCCTGGAATGTGTTGCCCGCCGCGTAGTTGGACTGGCCTCGGTTGCCGACGAGCCCGGCCACGCTGCCTAGCATGACGAAAAAGTCCATATCGGCGGGCAGATACTTGTGGAGATTCCACGTGCCTTGCACTTTAGGACCCAGGCACTCTTCCCATTGCGCATGCGACATGAACTCAAAGGCCGAGTCACGGAGCTGCATCGCACCTTGGATGACACCGGCGATGCGGGGGAAGCCCAGGCGGTTCATCTCGGCCAGCGCCGCGACCAGCTGCGCCTCATCGGCGACGTTGCACTTGAGTGCTGTCGCCCGCACTCCCATGTCGGCCAGCTCGGCGAGCAGCTGGCGCGTTGTGGCGGCTTCGGCGCCGCCGCGCGAGAGGAAGACGAGGTTCTTGGCGCCCTGCGCCGGCCCCGCCATCCACTTGGCGATGGACCGCCCGAGCCCGCCGGCGCCGCCGGGCAGCAGGTAGGTCGCGTCGGGTCTCAGACGCGTGGGCGCAGGCGGCTTGGGGACGACCTTGATGAGGTCCTCGGGATGCGCCTTGAGGACGACCTTGCCCATATGCTTGCCCTGCTGTAGGATGCGGAATGCGCTTTCCATTTCCCCAAAGCTGTGCACGATGAGCGGCCTGCAGGCATGCAGCTTGCCGGCGGCGTGCAGGTCGACGACGGAGCGCATGATGCGCGAGGTCATCGGGCGCGCCAGGGTGGCTATCTGGGCGAGGTCGACCGCGGTGAAGGTAGCGCATCGGCTGAAAGGGAGCATGTCGATTTTGCCGTTGGCCATGATGTCGCGCTTACCAATCTCGATAAAGCGGCCAAACATGGCTATGCAGTTGAAAGAGGCACGCAACGCCTCGCCCGAGAGGGAGTTGACAACTACGTCGACGCCCTTGCCACCCGTCATGCGCATGATGCCGCTTGCAAAGGACAGATCACGGCTGCTGAAGATGTGATCCTCAGCGAGCCCGTACTGGTCCATCAGCAGTTCCATCTTCTCGCGCGAGGACACGGTCGCGTAGACCTCAGCGCCCAAATGCTTGGCCAGCTGGATCACGGCCTGGCCTGTCCCGCCCGCTGCTGCGTGGACGAGGATAGTCTCCCCCGCTTTGAGACGCGCCACCTCGTACAGGCAAAAGTAGGCTGTCACGAAGACGACAGGAATGCTGGCAGCCTCTTCGAAGGACATGCTGTCAGGGATCTTGGCCACGAGGTCCCGGGGTGCCCTCGTACGGGTCTGGAGGCAGTTGTTGTCGCCGTTCCAGACAGCGATGACGCGGTCGCCGGCCTTGATATCCGTCACCTCGGCACCGACGTGCGTGACGATACCGGCGCCCTCGTAGCCGAGGATGTTGTTGTCGAGTTCGCCCATGGCCACCATGACGTCGCGGAAGTTCAAGCCCGCGGCCTTGATGTCTACCTGAACCTCGTCGTCACCGAGAGGCTGCTGTGCCCCTGGCCAGTCGATGAAATGCAGCTTATCCAGATCTCCTGGCCCAGAGGTGTGAAGCTTCAGGCTACGACTCGGATCGGCGCCAAACGCCTGCAACCGAGGCTGAAGCACAGTTGTCCTCTGTGCGATGAAGTCATTGACGGGGGGAGCGGCGATGATTCGGGCCGTCTGGATGAAGCCACCATGATCAAGACCGCATCCGACCGGGTCGACAAGGTAGTCGGCATGGCGATCCGGCGACAGAAAAGGCCCGCTGAAGTGATGCTTGAAGACTTTGACAACGTTGGCAGCCACGAGCGAGGCTTCGGCAGAGGGCAGATGCAGAAGCAGCAGGTCCGAGCCGTCAAGGTCTCTCTCCCAGCGCACCGTACGAAGAAGACCCGGTATCATGGCCATGTGGGGGTTCTCATGCGGGTGAAGCGTGAGCCACAGCAGCCCTCCGGCTTTGGTCAGTAGGTGGCGTAGCGTCACGAAATCGGCTTCGCTGAAGGACGACGAGAGAAAGGGCTTGGTGGCCTCCATGGCCACAATGCAGCATGTGTTGGCCAGTTCGTGCTGTGACAGGTCGGTGAAATGAACGACGCTCACCCCGAGGTCAGTCACCTCTGACACGGCAGAAGCCACAAACGTAGCCAGGGCAATATCCTCGGGCGTCTCATGCGCAACCACAAACACCCGGCGAAGAACGTCGTCCTCGTCGAGCTGCTGCGACTTGCTGGCGGCTTCTTCGTCGTCCGCCGGCCGCGTCGCTACAACCATGCTTTGCACGTGCAGCTCATCTTTAGTTGAGTCCTTGAGCTCCAGGACAGTCTGGGAAAAGCCGGCATCGCGCAGCACTCGCTCCCAACCCTTTCCGTCTAGCAGCGGACCCCAGGGGCGGAAGTCCTCCTTGGCAGCCCACCAGCCAGCGAGCATGCCAAAGACAAGCGGAGACTCGAGACACCTCAGCTGGGTGGTTTCCTGGAGGAACAGCTTGCCGTTGGGCTTCAAAAGACTGTTGACGCGGGCCATGGTCTTGGTGATATCCGACGTCGCGTGGAGGCAGTTGGCCGCGATGACCAGATCGTAAGAGGCTAGGTCGAAGCCCTGCTCTTCGACGTCTTTCTCGATATCCAACGTCTTGAACTCGATCACGCCACCGGCCTTCCACTTGCCGAACTTGGCCGCAGCCGTTTCGAAGAAGCTGGGGCTGATATCCGTATACGTGTATTTGAGCAGCCGCGAGTCTCCGATGACGCGGGTCCCCGCGGGGCAGAAGGCCTCGAGGATGCTGGTCGTCGTCCCGCCAGTTCCGGCACCGATTTCCAACACCTTGAGGTCTGCGCCGCGCTTGTGGCTCAGAACTCTGGCGTACGCTCCCATCAGAGCGTGGATCTTCTGGGTTCCTATCGCGACGCGGTAAACGCGCTCGAGCAGGTCGTCCATGCCGAATAACAGGTGCAGTCCGTCCACGTCTCCGCGGAGAATCGGCGCAATGTTACGCCCCATTCGACAAATCATGGCGGCCTCGGGGTGGCCCGACGCCTCATACTCGGCGAGGAATCTGTCGCGCGCGGCGGCGTCTTCCGTAACAGCCGGCCACGAGACGTCCTGGCGGAGGACTTTGTTGTTCTTGTAATCGTCAGCAATCAGCCGCAACCAGCCTAGATATTTCTTCATGTGCTCAGGCAACGCGTTCTCGTCTGCGAGCGGCCGAGCCTCGAGCTCCTTGACGGCTTCGGTGATCCAGATGGCGCACGCCAGCTGCACGTCCCCGAGCTGTTTTACGGCGCTCCCCTCGAGCGCCGGAGTCTCCAGTGGCAGTAAAGCAGTGCGTACACAGGCTTCGGCCTCGCCGTTTGCCTCCAGAATGTCCACGTCCGGCTTCCAGTCCAGGTTGAAGCAAATTTCGCGCCGGCTGCCGGCTGCGTCCCCCGTGGTCGTTCCGTGCTGTAAAGGCACTGCCTCGACGCCGCGCATTACGACCCTTACAGGCCTCTCGGCTCCAGGGTCGGTGCTCCAGACCGTGATGTCCGCCTCGGCTTTCTTGTGACCGACACGGCCAGCCGCGGCGTGTACCGTGAGCTCCGTGCCAGGTCGGGCTTCGATGTCGGCGCTGACCCACACGCTGCGTATCGCCACAGGCACCATGGGCTCCGTCAGTCGTTCAGCCGAGGCCTGCAGGGCGAAGATGAAGGACTGCATGATGCCGTCGAAAACGGGCGGGTGGATCACCGAGGCGGCGAGCGCGTGGCCCGGCATTGCTGTGGCGATGTCTGGGATGCGAATGGTGCCAAGCGCCTGGCCGCT